CCTATGAAGAGAAAAAGAAATTCTGTGATCTCTGAATGCAAGTGTCTTTCATTGCTTTCTTAAATTTTTATTCCAGTCCATAAACTCAAAGTAGCTTTAGCATCATGTGGTACATCGGTCAACTGCGGAATAAAGTGCAGAAAGGGCCTTGCTCTCCATCATGATATGTTTATGGTAATGCAGCAAGAGAACTTCTGTGGCCAGTAAAGATTGTGCTGAGTTCAGGGTCTGCTGAGGAAGGCTTAGAGTGGGGCTTTGGCTTAGAAATAGCCTTCCAGCAAGCAAACCCCACAAAACAGTGTCAGCTGTTTGGAGCTGTAGTGACTGCAGAGATAGAATTGAGAGCCCGTGTTGCCTGCTGTATTTCAGATACTTGGAGATGGCGGCACCAGGCATAAGTGTAGGGCTTGGAGGATCTGTTGCCCTGGTGGATTTGGTTGGGATGACAACTGATCATTCCTTTTTAGCTGAGTGCACCTAATGTGGCTCTGTTTCCATTCGAGCTTTCAAAGTCCTTAGATCTCTGAGAGTTTCTGGAGGATGCAGATAACCTATAAGAGAACTATGAGTGATGTCTAAATGCAGATCAAACCAGTCTGCTTCATGAGCATCAACCCTACAGCCTTACTTAACTCTGGAGTATTGAGCTGCCTCAGCCTGTGCAGCTGGACAGAATTTTCTCCATGTCCACAACTCATTCTGTGGATTTCAAAGTGCAGGGTTTTTGGGTTTTGTTTCTTTGGGTTTTTTTAACTAAAGAACATTTTAGCTTTAGAAATGAAAAAAGCTGTTTTTTTGCCTTTTGTTCTTAGCAAAAGAACAGCTTTAGCTTCTTCTTACTATGATGCTTGTTTCCTGTCAGCCCTGACATTTCTTGGGCACCACAATTTCACCAACACAAAAAGCCTCTGCATATTTGTGGGATAGGAAGTAGGAATATATTTTCACATGTAGAAGGATCTATGAAAGTGGCAGGCTAATCCAGTGACTGTCTGTCTGTGTGGGAGGGAAGGAAGAGGTTGGCAGTGTGTGGAAACTGATGTAACTCCTACTGAATAAGGAAGTCTCCCAAGTTGTGCAACTCATCGGAGATGATGAGATTTATCGTTGTAATCCCTATAGCCAATGCTCTTGGAGGAACATCTAGTAGACAGCTTTACTTCCACATTGGAAGAACAGCATTTCTGATGCTGAAGTGGAGTTCCAAGGGAACTTTCTTTCATTTTGAGGATTTTCAGGAGTAATTTGAAGTAATTAGAATGAAGTTGAGAACCAGCCTGGATAGATATAATGCAGTAGAATCTATGTCTAATTTCATATCCATTCTTGCCATTCATAATTTGTTCTTTGAAAAATAAATCCTGGGGATTAATTACATATGAGAGGGCATGAGTAGGGTTGCAAATATATTTGCAAAATACACTTTTTTCCATTTAATAAAACAAAGCACAAATTCATTTCTGCACAGGTGAGGGAGGAGCATCCTTCTATTGATGGATTTCTTTCTGTTGGGGAGCTTGCATCAGCCTTTACTGACATTAAAAGGGAATAGGCTCTGCAGCAACATCTCTTCTTTCTGCATTCTAGAAAATGCCAATTTCCAATATAAAACTGGCTTAATATTACTATGCCAAATTTATTTTTATGCCATATTGTTGTTAAAAGATTTGATGTTTTCAGAAGCATCTTGCTTGAATCTGCAATTTTAGTCCTACCCAGAGAATTCTTCAACAAACGGTTTTATTATTCTGATTATACCCTCTCTTCGTGAGGCCTAGCTATAATTATGGGAAATTAGGGAATTTTTCTGCTGTGGAAACATAATAATAACTTCTGTTAGTATTTTTAGATCAGTTTTGAAAATGTCGTTTTGAATGTTACTTTCAAATCTCACATTAATCAAATCTTTATACACTGGGAAACTCCTGGCTGACAGAGACAGCCAAAATCTTCTTAGTGGGGTAGATAAATTTGCATGTTCCTATACTGAGAAAGTTGGAGGTTTTCAAATTTATTTTTTTAGTGGTAGCAAAGAGAGGTTCAGCAAAATAGGAAAAAGAAAAGGAAGACTGGGAGCAGCAAAGCAAAGTTTGGGATGAAATAAAAGGAAATAAGGGGGGTTCTGAGAATGAGATAAAAGTAAGAGTCAGTTTTGGATTAAGACAGTGTTATCTTTTGGTTTTTTCTGCTTTTCTTTTGTCTTCTTTCATGCTCTCTCCACTGTGCCTTGGGAGCCCCTTGATGTTTCTGTCACCCACCGGCCTGTCTCCCCCTGCAGCTGCCTGGTGCCACCACCATTTCAAGCAGCAGTGACCACCCCGAGCTCCCCTGTTCTCTGCACCTCTTTTAATGGTTGTCTTAGGTGACTGACATTGGACAGCACCAACCCAAATGAAATGTATGGACTGTGACTGACTGAGGTCAGGTTGGCCTGGTGATCTCAGTGCACCTAACGAGAACAAGCATCCCAAGTGGTCAGGGATCAAAATTGTTGAATGTTGGACTCAACTCCTGGATCTCTTCCCTTACAGAGAAAAGCACTGGGTGACATGAATATGAGTCATCTTTCTGTGACATTCAGGAGTATAAATGTTATGAACTTTTGTTTGTCTAAGGACAGAAAAAACCAAGCAGGGGTTTTTAGCTTTGGAATAAATGGGATAGATAACTTATCCAACACACGAGTTGTTTCCCTCTGAGGTGATTCCTGCTGTTTTCCCTATTTTGGCTGGATTTTGGGGTTTGATTTGAAACAATTGTGTTTCAGACTTAAGATAGGAACTGCTGACAAGTTTCTGATAAAGCTGACCTTGCACATTACTGGTCATATTGAAACTAACTCTGATTCAAAGAAACCCAGACTATAAATCTCTTTCTGTACAGGTAGTTTTAATCTCTTACTTAACAGTGTCTTTGAATAACATGGGCCTCTGTCCTGAGCAGAGACAGAGTTGTCACAAAAGTTTGTTCAGTCAAGTGCAGGTAGTAGAGCTGGAAAAAATCACACCAAAAGCTGAAGAAGGTGTATTTTGAGAATATGTTATCAAATCTGTCTTCACACAAATGATGAGCACACTCAGCTGGACTTCTTGATATTTTAAATACGACTTTTCTACTTGTGAAATATCTGAATCTCTACATTACATCTAAGTGTTTATCTAACTATTTAGAAGGCTAATAACAAACTGAGGAGAAACAAGTTTCTTTTTAATCTATGAGAGACTGAAAATGTGCCTTTTGGAGGAAAAGGATGAGAACTTTGCTGTGCGCTGCCTAACCTGTTCCTTCAGCAGAGGTCTGTACAGCTTATGCCTGAGCATGTCCTTGATAGAAAGGTGTCCATCTAACTATGGATCTGTCTGACCTGTTTTCCAGAAAGAGTTGGAAAATATTTAATTTACTGTGTCAAAATATATGCTACAAGTAGTAGGTGAATACTTCCTTCACAGAAGAGAGTATTTCTAGAGCTAAAAAGATTTTTGTGGAAAGCTCTACTTCCAAGGAATCCATGAACACTGAGGAAGGTGTGTTCCTTGTTTCAGTTGCTGGCAAGCAGAACTTAGGTCTTTCTTCACAACACACACAAGGATCCAGCCTCCAAGGTCCTTCTGGCAGTGAAGGCCATGAATTAGGTTGCTTGCTCTTGTAGAAGAACCATGGCTGAAGTGAGCAAACAATTTCTTAGAGACTTCTGAAATTTAGTTCATCAGGAGATAGGCCACACAAACAACCCTTAAAATAGTGTTGAGAAGGCACTTCCAAAAAATTATTTGGCTAATGTTCTTTCCAGCAGGACTCAGGTGTCAAAAAGTTCATTGACTTTAATGTTTTTGAATTTAATGTTTTTCAGCTTCACCTCAACACAGCAACTATTTCAGAAAAAATAATTTTGTATGTCAAGTGTTGGGTCTTGGTTTTGGTTGGGTTTGTGTATCTTTAGGCATTGGAGAGAATTTGTCAGGCCAGGGTTTCTGGGCTGCTTTGTGGATTATGCAAACAGTTAATCTTTCTGGTCCATCTCTTGACCCCTCCTTTGGCCTTTGCATTCCAGGAGCCAGCTGGGAGGAAAGTGAGAGAGGACAGACACTGGATTAGGCTGTTTTAACTCATTCCAACATGGGCAATGGAAACTACAGCAATTAGGCTCAATTAGTCAGCGGTCAATTAGTAATTAGTCAGAAATCTGACTGTTTATGTGCTCTTCTCTGTTCACACACAGGAAAAAGCACTTTAGTTCAAGACAGGCATGGATTAAGTTCACCACCATCACTTATCCCTAAAAATATGGAGAAGCAGTTCTGCAGCTGGGTGCCAGTTTTGCCTTGTCTTCTTGGTGGGCATGGTGCCTGTTGCCTTTCAGCTGACTCGCTCCTCATTTGGACTTAGCAGTACTGGATAAGGAGGCTTTGGGACCCCATGCTAGCCTTTGACTTCTGAGAAACGTGCAGTGGAAGCTGGGTGAGTTGGGAGATGAGATTTACTTCTCCTAACAGAGGGAAAAAAACCCATGAGTTAAATGTCATGGTAGAACTTTCTGTTTTCATGAACATGTTAAAGTAACCCTGATGAGCTTGATTTTGAGAATATTAGGCAGGGGATTAAAGGCAGGACACTACTACTGATTTACTATTACTACATTTGGCACCTTGTCATACAGATTGATTTCTGCATTTTCAATGTTTATATATTCTTTGTAAGAAAAGGCAAGTTGTAGTGAGGGCAGAAAGCTTTTTTCTTTCTTATTTCTCGAGTAGCAGACTCCAGAAATATACAGTTTGCAGACATTTGTACTTACAAATAATCAACTCTGCAGAGAACAGTTTATTAGCAGATCCCCCTGGACAGTAAACTATTTTATTTTGAAATTTTGCAGTTTTTCTAGTGATGAACGTGTCACTACTATTGCTGTCTCTATTTTATAAGCAATTTCTTCTTGAAGACAGTGTCTTAATATGCTTAATGTCAGTCAAAATGTTATTCATATGTATTGTTTCTTACAGAATGTCCCCTACCCTTAAACTTAGTTACCTCCTGGATGCAAGGACTCTTCAGATTGCATCAGTGGTTATCAGAATAGGTAAAAGTAAGTCTTGAGGAAATGAAAAGTGTAAGTACTGACAGCAAACGTTTATTCTTAAATTTTTATCATGTTCCATTTTTCCTACTTAGCAACATAAAATGTATCCCATTTAAGGGCCTCTCAGTAGCACATGACACAGCTGATGTCTTTATTTGCCCTCCTGGTGATATTCTAGATATAATCACAAAGGCATGCTTTGTCAGAGGTCTACTGCCTCTACTTGCCTAAATGCAAGACCTATAGTTTTGTATTTAGGCTCATGGTCTCAGGTGTGGTTCAGTAACATTCTTCTTTTTGTTTTCCTCTTGACAAAATATTGATGCAGAGTGCCACTTTTTTCTCCTAAAGGTGTTGCACCAGTCTGTCATGTTGTCTGATTGAGAAACTTGTGCAGAATCTTGTATTCATCTTCCTGTGGTCCCTGTAGGGCTCATTTTCTTTATGTTGGTTCCCTGATGCTAGTGTCATTGAAAGAGCAATGTGTGTTATCAAGACTTATATAGGATTTTTAATTTAGACAAGATACATTATTTTAATGGTTTCAGGCAAGCCAGTAACAGCAATTCATCTCAGTGAACACTGTTATGTAAACACAGGAAGAGCTAAACTTTACTGCGTTTTCGTATAAAGACAATATTTACTGACAAATTGGACATCTTTATTTAAATTATAAAGTATATGGATTGTAAATGAACATAATATTTTTGATCAAGTACTACATGAAACAATTACCTGTGTTATGACTAAACATTTCAACTTACTAAATACCATAGATGTTCTTATTTCTATGATGCTTTCCCCAAAGCACAGCAAGTACTTGAGGAAGTTGTAGCCAAGTCCATGTATGAACTCCAACTGTGTGTTTCAAAGCATTTTTTTCAGAAATTCTGTTCTTTTATTATACCATTGGATAATACATATTTTCCAACTTGTTAGAACACTTGCTTCATTTCTAAACTTTCTCCTACTCACCTGAATGTACACCTCTCCACTGCACAGCATAGAGTTGACCAGGTTCAGGTCTGAAGTGGTCTTTTGAGTGGTTATGCTCCCTCTCTAGCCAGTCACAAGGTAAAGTCAAAAGTAAGAAAGGTGACCCAGGGAAGTATTTTTAAAAAATAATTAATCTCTGCATTGGTATCATCTTGCAGGGGCATCTGAAAATTGTCAGTTGTTCATTACAGTGTGCTGGAAATCCATGGTGCGTCCTATAGAGCAAGCTGAGGGTAAGAATGAAGTGTTTTTCCTATTGTGATACTCACTGATATGAGCAGAAAAGTGGAATGTATGCTGTCCTGGTGTGCCAGTCAATTCCACCAACAGCATTGGACATCTCGTGGTGCTCTGTGTCAGCACGGATTACAAAAAGGGTCCTTTTGTGAGAAACAGCAAAATAAATGGGATCTAATCCCAGAAAGTACTTGCAGAGTGATCAACCTCACATAAACATTTGGGACAGCTGTAAGTCAAGGCCAAATTCAATTTAATTTAGGAAGCAAATTCTATGATGTCAGAGAAATTTGTATATGTTTGCTTCATTTGTGGACTTGAAAGATTCAGCCTGCTCCCAGCTGCTTTTTCCATCACTTATGAAATGTTACCAGGCCTGAACTGAGCCCAATGCAATTTGGGAAGTACTGAGATTTAGAAAATGAGATTAATTTGGTTTAAACTTTCACCATACAAAACACAACACCCTTTGATTTTAAGATTAACTAATTCTGACACTGAAAATTTTCTCTACAGTATGTTTATCTCTGACAGATTCTTCACGTCACTCACTTAATGGAATATGTATATTTATTTTCTTCACCAAATATAATGAAACTGGTACTTCTTGTGAAAATTAGCCTTCCACTAAGTGTTTTGTGTACTTATGGGAAGAAGGGTAGGCTTAAAAGATTATGTTTCCCAGAAACAAACAAGGTAAAAAGCCCTTGATCTGTCCAGATGTTTCCTCTAGGGACGTGCCCTTCTCTTTGGGATTTTAACTTCTCCAATGAGTCATTAAGTTGTCCCTTTTGGTTTTCATATCTTTGTTAAAACACTAAAGGTTTCCTTTCCTAGTGAGAGCTGAGTAAATGGAATACACGGATAAGAGTTATCTTTTGTAGTCCAGATAAATGTTTATTCTTATAGAGTTTTAAACAAAATGTTTTCTCATTTTAGGTATTAACAACCAAGCATTTCCTTAGTTGGAATTTTCACTATCAGTGCATTTGACACCGGCTTTCAGGAGCTCAAACCACTTCTCAGGTATCAGATTTTGTCTAACATTAAGCCTTTAGGTCTTCCTCTAGTCCTCTTTTCTTTTGCAACTAAAAATTGTGTACAAATCTTACAGGTCTTATCCAAGAAACTAATTCATACCAGGTTTTTTTTTCACCCTTAGTCTGCTTTAATTCCTATTCTGCCCTTCCCTTCCGTGCAGTTTCCCAGGGAAACAGGACTTCTCTGTTCATTACATGGTCCCTATGGGTGTCCTCCTTCAAATGAGAAGGTTCAAAAGGTCAAAGACGTTCTGCCCATGTCTGTATTCTACCTGAACTGGCCAGGTCCAGAGCAGGGAAACACTTTGAGTGATCTTGAGACTGACTCTTCTTTTCCATATTACCTCTCTAGGCAGAGGTAGTTCACACTAAGGCCATTATTTATGTTTCAAAACATATATTTTTGTGGCAAGGAAAGCTGATGCATTTCTAGGAAATTTGTAGGAATGATCCAGAACTCTCTTCTATTGTGTCAGTTGCATAATATAATTTTAATAGTAGATGAGGTAAGTGGGGGCCAAACAAGACCACCTGAGATAATAATAGGATATCTTTTGGAGAAAATTGAATTGCCTTACAGCTTTCCTCAAGTCATGTAACAAGAGCATAGCTCTCCCTTGATCTTGGGTTTGATTGTTCTTGTGTGTGATTGTCTGCAACTCTGAACCAGTGGCTGGCAAAAAGAAATTGAGCTAATTATTGGATAATTTTGGGGCTGGAGCATCCACCTACCATCTTGAAATAACACTTTGGTATGACAGAAAAAGCCAGTGCTGCTTTTTCTTGAGAGAAATCTTACTTTGGTACATGATGCAGTGAAAACATGGCACCAGGACAGTACCAGTCTCCCACAGAGCTTTAATAAATGGCAATCACTTCTAAATTGAAAGCAGTCCTCCCAAGTTGTTCCTCATGTTACATGGTGTGAGTGAGAGGCTGAAAGCAGCCTCTGTAGAGACTGTCTCTCTGCAAATTACAACTGAGGGGTAAGATCATTACAATACTTTAGGATAATGCTATGGATGGGGAAAGAAGTGGTGTTCTGTCAGCCAGGAAGCACTGGCTAAGATCTAGGAGCACTCCCTCCAAGGATTCCAGTGTGCATCCAGTTCACTGGGCTCCTGGGGACAGCAAGAGCAAGCAGACAGGGATGGATGGATGGAAGCAAGATCAGCCAGTTCATTTTACTTGTTAGAGGAAATTGGGCCATGGTAAGCTTAGCTGGATGCATCATTGCATCTCAGAGATTTTGGTTTCAGTAATGGCAGAAAGGTTCAGTGGTGAGAAAAAATTGGTTTTTTGATATAAAAAGTAAAATTAGCATGACTGCAAGTGGGAATTAGACAAACTGAAGCAGGCTGTAGCTCTTCTTTTTCTCCCAGAAAACAATTCCACCTGATTATTTACTTTGTGATAGATCATGCTCTATTTTCAGGGTCTTTGCTGTTCAACATGGAAAGTGGTATCAGAATCAAACAGATAAGCAATATATTAAGAATAGGATTGTTCTCAGAAGAGTCAACATTAAAATTATAATTTTGAAAAGTTAATATTTCTTTTGAAATTTCCTTCCTTTTTTTAGTTTAACTTTATTTGAAGGGTTTCTTTTTTTGCTATGAATCTGTAGTGCATAAAAGAAGTTGGCTGAAAACAGTGTTGAGATTAGATGACTATGTGTCAATTCATTTTTTTTTTTTCCATTAAACTTGTACATAAAAACTATGAGTTTTCTGGAGAAGAAATAGTTTAAATAAATTAAATCCAAGAGCTCTATGCCTTATGCCAGCCTTCATGCCCTAACACATAGGAAAGAATGTGGGAACATTCCTCTCTATTTATAAGGGATTCCCATTTCTTGGAGCTGAATAGATGAAGGCGCATTTTGGTAATGAGAATCATTATCTACTCACTCTTCCTCCAGCAGTGCCATGACCTGAAGACCTACCTGCAGCTGACTTTTTTCTACTAGATAAGGTCAGGTTGAAACTGGAGTAGGCCTGTGGACTTTCACTCAGTGAAATATGATAGTTTTGCACTCCTACATGTGCAGTGTGTCAGCATTCAGAGGCATTCATACTTTCCATTCCACCACTGAGGTGTTCCAGATTTTGCCCCTGCCTCAAGGACAATTTGCATAGCTCCATGCAGATTAGTAATTTCACAGGCAAATTCTCCTTTCTCATTATGAAAAATTGTGAATCCTCTGAAATAGCTTGCTGATGAGAACTTCCTCATTCTCTATTAGTCCCCAAAAGGTTTCTTTCTACATGAAGCAATACCATACATATGGGTGGAAACTGTAGTTCTGATACATTTTGGAAGGTTTTAATAGGTGATTCTCTAAGCACAAAGATATTATGGGAGGAAAAATAAGTTCCTCATGTTAGTTGGTTGCTACTTAACCATTTCATTTCATGTAATACATGCTGGCAGCACTTCTTTAGGAATTAATGTTTAATTCCTCTTTAATAAGAATAAAAAAGTACATGGTACAGAATGGTGGCTTGCATCATTGCCTTTGGCCACATCTGAGAGAACCAAACATGGAGCACAGGCAGTATGTGTGCTAAAGCCAGCCAACATGGGAAATCACAGCAGCACACTCCAAGAAAGGCTTTCACAGTAGATAACTTCTGGAAAATAAATATAAACCACAGATTTTCAGAACCTGACTGGACAAAGCCTTGAATAACTCTATCTGAATTCAAAGCTGCCTGTGCCCTGAGCAGGGGGTTGGAGTAGGTCTTTTCCAACTGTACTGCTTCTGTCAATGTGGTAACTGATATTTTAACTGACTAGCTTCAGTGATTTCATGAGATCTAATGTACGAAAACATTATTTTGTCTTAACAGTAGGAAGCTACAGAAGTGTCTGACCTTCCGGAAGATCCTGTGTTACTGCAGTGAACTGATCATAGTGGTACTTTTAATTCCATAATAATTTTTTCCTGTTATCTCCTTGCAGATTGCTGACTTCAGCAACTTCATCTGCAAAATTCTGCTGAGCTGAGCTGAATGTACACTTGTGTCTATTGCTCAGACGCTCTTTTTGTACTTTCTCTGTATCAGTGAGAAGTAGGAAAGAAGAACCGAAGGCTAAGACTCATCAGCTTAGATTAAATTCACATCATCATAAACTAGGAAAGGATTTCTAAACAGATCAGTCTATTTCCCTTCTTTGGCTCCCTTTAAATGACCTTGTGAGAATGGAGGAAGGAGTATGTTTCAGATGTTTGTGATTTTAGTAAGGTAAGTAAGTAAGTAAGATTTTGATGGTTTTCAGATAAGCAAATCGTGAAAAAAGTGACATAGATAAATCTAGTACAGGATGAACAGAGTGGAAGAATCAGGTGTTTCATGAGCATTTCTTGTGTCTGATAATATTTTCAGTTAATTGAAGGACTGTAGAATTCAAAATGATCTTGAAAAATTGAAGAAATAGCCTGATAAAAATAGGATGTGTTTTTAAAACAAATCAAGCAGTCTGTCACAGATTTTTGTGGGAAACAGAGTATAAGTGGTGGAAAAAATGATTTAGTGGGTGAAAACATGAAAAGGCTCAACAGTGCTGCTATTCTACAAATGAGAAGTCCTGAGTCATATAAACAAAGCTTGGGCTGCAGGGAAGATCAAGGTTTTCCACTTGACATTAGCAAAATGTTAGTTGTAGCTCCATGTCTAGTGGTAGCAATACGGCTTTAGAAGGATGCAGACAGGTTGGAGACTGTTCAGAGAAGAGCAGTAGAAATAAGGAGCCTTTTAGAATACATGATCTACCAGGAAGAATGGAAAAAAAATTGGAATGTGAGTTCCTAAGTCAAAAAGGAAGAGTAAAGGGAAACAGGCTGGTTTTCAGATGCATAAAGAGCTGCTTCAAAGGCAGAAGCAGTAGCTCTTTTCTCTAAACCTACTATAGATAGGATAGAAATTGTGAGTTTCAGCTGCAGTAAAGGAAGATTTGGTTAGTCATTAAAGAAATGTTATGTCTTAGGGAGACATAGGAACATTGAGAATCATGAAAGTGTAGAAGATGATTCTCTGGTGAGTTTTCAGTCATCATCATCAGAAAGAGCAGTTCAGAGACATCCATTAAGTTCCATGTGGATTGGTGATTCTGCCCTAAAGCAGGGAGTGCTAGTTAGCAGATATATATTAACAGAGTTCTCCTGTTGCTCAATTCTGTACAGTCCTTGGAAAAACCCAGAAGCACGTGGCTGGTGGAGGCCAGTGGCACAGATCTGTCCAATGCTGTGTGGGGTATCTTTCTGCCCCGTCAGCAGCTCGCTGCTAACTTGCACTGTGAACCTGTGCTTGAACTCCCACTCCCCACAGTGTTCACGTGTTTACCTCTCCTCCTCCGGGCACTTTCAGTCCAGTTCCTGGTGAACTGCTCATTCTGTGCCTCTGTGTAAAAGGAAAGCATGTATAAACTAAAAATAGAATTGTTAGTAAACCAGGAAAGTTAGTATTTCAGATAAGGACAGTTCAAGTGGGTTGGAAGATGGCCCAGCTGGTGTTACATGAGTGCTAATGTGGTCTCAGCAAACAGATTTGATAAAACTTGGAAGGACTGAAGCAATGGTCTCCAGCGAATTTAAGTTACTTTCTCTACTGGCTGGAATTTTCAGGTTTCTTGTGCTGTATCTCTGCATTTATAATCTCATCTTCAGCTAGAAATTAACTGTTAGCTAACATTATATATCATAGTTGTCTCCTTTCTGTTACAAAATGTGTGTTTGCTTTTAAACATGAACAACAGGCAACAAATCCTGAAACCTTGGGAAATTCCCTGTGCTCTTTTGTGATTATATCTGAAACCTCAGTTATTACCAATGTAGTAAAGAAACGGGAATTTTTCAGCTGCTTTATTTTAAGTGACCTTTCTTGGTTTTCCTCAAAAACTTTTCCAGTTCTCAGCAGTGTCAAGTGTATTATGTTAGACCTTCCTTGTATTCAAATACTGTAAACAGTCTCTGCTGAAAGCTGGAAATGACTTCAGATTTCTTTTAAGAAAATTATTAGGGTTTTTACACTTTGATTCCAAAAAGGACTGTATGGTTGACCGTCTACTATCATAGTTGCTATCTGACATGAAGCTTTTAGATTTTCATTCAGGCCAAATTTAAACTTTTTAAATTTCAAATTTTCTGCAGACCACACACCAAAACAAATTATACTTTGGCAAGAATATATCCATGGAATGTACCCAAATCTCTACAAATGTGCATGACATACTATTAGCTAAGGAGAGCAAGAATCTGGTCAGAAATGGCATCCAAAATCCTGTATCTTTGCATGCAGGTTTATGTGGGATACACGATCTCTTACCAACTGTGCAGCACTGCAAAGGGCAGCTTTGGTTTTGGTAGAAACCATAAGAAGTAAAAATTCTGAGCCAGTTCCCCATGAAAGTCACTGCACAAAATCTGCTTTAAATACTTCACTCTCTATCATTCTGTAAGATTAGGAGGATAAAACTGAGAATAGTTAAAGACAGTGGACTAAGTCTCATAATACACAAATTAAAAGGGCTAAAGTTACTTAGGGATTGAGATTTATTTTGTTTGCAATGCTAAAACTGCTGTGATGATACCATTTTTCAGGTGGTCTCTTGCCCTTGTATGTCAGCCTCAAATATCAACAGAGGGTGGTGACCTTTGAACCTGTAACAAATATCTTGCTTTTCTAAGGAAAAATGTTCCAGATATGGGTTACTGACAAGTAGATCAGCACTACCTTCTTAAAACAGAATATCAAATTTTTCTGAAGGTCTCTCTTAGCAGAACATGCTCAGTCCTCTCTGACTCATGAGGGCAAGGGAGATGTGATGAAGATGAATCCCCACACTTGACTTGGTTGTGAGAAGTCAAGAGCCAGACTAGATGGTGAGGGGGAAAAGACACAGGAATGGCATATAGAGTGTAAGGCTGCAGTTGGTGGGGAGAAGAGAAAACTTTTTTCCCCTCCACTTCTTTAACTTTCTGTCTCTGAAGGGTACCTCAGTGCATCCTGAGAGAGCCTGTGTGTTTTCCACCAATCTGTGAAAACTATGGTGTGGAGTTTATGCCAAGAAAAGCAGTTGTGGAAGTGTGGTATAGCTTGCTTTAAAGATTGTGGGGGGCAGTAATCCCAAATTAACCATCATCCTAAACTGGTTGGTTTTATCTGGTCTCAGTCAAGGCCAATATAATTTAAACCCATTTGAAAAACAAATAATCTGGGTATCAGGACAAGAATTTTCTGCTTCCCTCAGTAATTTCCATAAAAGTTACAAATTTATGTCTGTCTTGGCTGTGATGAACAAATGGTATTTTATCTGCATTTTATCTTTAGTCTTCATTATTGATTTAAAGTACCTCAGAATTTAAGGTTTTATCCAAGAGGAAGGCTTTCCTCACCTTTCTATTTAGCACACGGACGAGCTGGGGTATGGCCTTGTCTCAACTACCCCCTTTCTCCAGGGCAATCACCTGCCTTTAAGCAGTGAATTCCTGTAAGCCTTGTGGATAAGGGCTGGGCTACCCTGGAAGCTCCTCATTGTGCAGCTCAGTGTTTGTGTCCATGTTTGAACAGCAATGATTGGAAAGCTGTTCCTGCTACCCACATGCAGATGGGCCTGACTGATAAAATCTAAACTTTTAAGTTCTTGACTTAACAATCACATATTTTTTTTATATTTATGTGTCACATTTTAAGTTATCTTTATTGGCTTTGAAAATACTCATCAGTTATAAATTTTACACTCTCTTCTCTCATTGCCTTTCCTTCTTGTTATCCCCTGTCACATGATTTTGTTCCCTTATTCTCCTACTTTTGATAAAATATTAACTTTGGTCTGCCTTGAAAAGCTTAAGTGAGTCACAGAGGAGTTTAAGCACTTAAACCCTCAGTGAAATCACTTAAATGTTTAGCAGCTAAATAGTAATTTGTTGTTCACCTCTATGAAATTGGCACTTGAATTCCAAAGTGGAATATATTTTCACTAGGTCTGCCCTCTACCTAGATCCTCTCATTGCCCCAGAATTATGTAAAAACACAAAAAAATTAATTTTGGGGTAACTACCACAAGTCACCAAACTCTGCATGGTAAAATGGGCCTCTGGTAGAGGATGGGTAAAAATGCTGTGGCAATGCTTTGGTGACAACCTAAGGAGGTTACTGACCCATTAATTGCTTAAATACCCTGGGTTTGGTCATCTGGCTGCTTTGCTGTGTTGTGTCAGAGAACTGAAACAATACAAATGCCTTTCCAAAACTGGCAGAGATAGAAGAACAAGCCCTTCTACTTGACTGAGAGGACATCAAGCAGGAACATTCTGTGTTTGAGGCTCCATGGCTTTGAAGGGCAGAAGAATCACAGTAGATCAGTGACTGTTCTGATGATGCCTTAAGTTTTAGCTTTCATATTTTTCAGATTCTGTGCTGCCTAGGTGTGAAGTTTTGAGCTTCATATTTAGTGTTAGTGAGATCTCTTCACAACAATTCCTTTTCTAGCTTGATACCAAGGACAATTGTTACAAGTTTCAGGCCCAAAAGCATAAACAACAGTGGATTGAGGAGAGAAAACAAGAAGGATGAGACTTCATAATCTGAAACTGTAATTGGACAATTAACCCAAATATGCAGATGGACCAAAACTTATAAACATGTGAGACCTTGTGACCAATCCTCCATTTTGTGACTATTTTTAGGTCTATCTTGGGTGTAGCCCTGGCCAGGCTCTTGTACTGCCCAAAGTGTACCCTTTGAGGCATTTTAATAAATAAATGCCTCAAATAAAATAATAATTTGTTCTTTAATTCTGTCTAGCCTCTGTTCTAGGTCAGCCTTCTCAAGGCATCACTGATGCCTGTGATAGTATTCCTGGCAAACCCAGACATTCTCTTTTGGAACTCCTGCCTGTTAATGCAGGTTTAACCAGCGTAAAATACCTTGAACTGATCTGATCTGATCTGCAACTCAGTTCCTGGAGGGATAAACAGAACACTCACTGAACCGTTGATTGTCTTGCTAAATTGAGAAAGGGTAGCTGGAAGAAGATGTGATAGGATCTGCATACCGTGTGGAAGCCCAGAAATCAGTGAGATGTGCTCTTAAAATGTGGGCATGGCAGATCTTTCTGGTGAAAAGTTTTGAGACATTTGAAGTTATGGTTCTATTTGGATCTGACTCTGGTAAGTAGGATCATAAGAAAATGATGACTTTGTGCTGGCATGAGCTAGCAATGTGGTGTAACACAAAATT